TTTTTTTTTTGCCGGTTGCCTTTTTAACCCCTTTTTTCAAGATTGCGGACACCCTCCTAAGGATGAGACCTGATAATATGAACACCCATGTGGAAAGTAACTATAATAGAAACTTGGATGATGTGATTAACCTTCTTCCGGATCTTGGCAGAGGATTGGATGTTAATATCAGGTAGCCACTGCTTACATAGCCTTTCTTGCTAGCTGAATGATGCAATTTCCTTAAATTCTAAGCACTTAACCTTGTATTACTTCCGTCAAAAAGATACGAGAAGGTTTATATGTTCTATCATGCCTTATGCTCTTTTACGCTAAACTTACGGTCATTCTTTTCTGATCGTAAGATGCTGCATTATTTCTATTCTCACTATTCAACTATAATTTATAGTCAGCAAGCATGTTTGTCATGCAGTCAATAGCAAATGAGATAGTAGAATGTGTCATTTGGTAACAGCTTTGCGGGAAAGTTTTGCATTCCATAAAAATCTTGCGAGAACGGGAGAGGAGAGAGAAGTCTGCGTTGATGTTAGCACTACTCATAATTATCCATGCAACGATTATCGCTCCTCCTCCTACCACAAATTGGAGAATTGCCACAGAATCTTCCTTACTAAGCTAGATTTTTCATTTACCTTCCTGCGAAGCATCACGTCATGTTCGAAAACCATGTACTAGTTATTTGTTTGCTGACCTATGTGTCCACGTAACCGTTTTTTTTAAACAAGAGCATGTTAGAATAAGTTCGAGCTTCACACATTAAAGTATCTCCTTCCTTTTTTTGAGTACTCCTAATTTCGTTTTGTTGGACATGCAAAGACTATAAGTTTATGATTACCACACCAGCATCCTGTGGCACGGATGTAGCGCATAAAATTACCAGTTTACGACTACGAGATGAATTGTCATGATTGAAAATACGACGAACTTAAGCGCCACTAGCATCGATAACTAAGCTTCATCTAAGCATAAAATAACTCTTCAAACGCTCCAATTTGGAATTTAAATGTTGTTGCTAAAGCACGATCTACGGAACATCTTATGTGACACACTAATAGTAGGAGGTTACATTTACATTGAGATATGAAAAAATAATTAATAAGTGCAGGAGAAATACCATTTTGAAGATTTTAGTAGTTTGCGAACGTAGTAATGTACGATGTATCATACTAATGTCAATATAGAAGGATTATAAAATACTCTCTCAAAATCCTCTTAGAAAACTTATGTCTTGTATTTTAGGTTTCGTCACGTCAACGATTTCGAATTTACACCAGCTCTGTCCTTGTTTGACCTCCTTCGCATAAACCTGTACCATGGATGGCTTCCAGATCCTCAATTTGTTGAAATTAGTGCGTTATAACTTCTATCTAAATTCATTTTTATAAACTTAGTAAATCTTTCCTTCTTGCAGCCTATAATAGTGCAGGTTTTATCATAGCCGACTCTCCACTTCCGCGCATTTCAACTTTTTTCAGAGAATGCTATTGGAGAGCTCACCTACAACCAGTTAGTAGAGAGAATCTGTGATGAAAACGATCCCAACCGCTTTTTGTTCGAAGAATTTTTGGGTGAGAACATATCTCAGCTGACCTATCATGGACTGGTTGCTCTTATGGAAGCTATGCGAGATGGCGAGTTGGCAGTGCTATTCCGTAATAATCACTTCCATACCATTCATAAAAGGAAGGTTAGTATGCTCATGTGATATTGTATATAGTCTAGATCAGTTTTCTTATGTTTTCATATTGTTATTTTTTATAATTTGTAGACTTTATTTGATAAGATTTTTAGGATCTCCTTTATCTGTTGGTATCAGATAGTGGCTATGTAAGAGAGCCTGATATTGTTTGGGAGTCATTTAACACTGTGGATGGAAGTTCAATTTTTTTCAATGGTGACTTCAAAATCAGCTCACTTCCAAGCAGTAACCCCAGTGATTCTCAAATAGCATGTTCTACAGAAGCAGAGTGAGTGCCTACTTTCCCACTAGTTTGTCAGCTTTTGATCCTAATCTGTGTCTTTGTATTCACCAAGCGTTGTTTCCTCAGACCATCTTCTTGTAGTTTTTTATTGGCGCAAGAACTGCAAGCATGCGAAGACGAACTTGCTCGACAAGAAGCTGAAAGAGAAAAGGCAAATCGCAAAGAGGTGCCTTCACCACCGCCGCAATATCCAGCTTCTCCTTCATCTGAGTGAGTGCTTTTCACAATGTTTCTTTTTGAATATTTGCAAGATATATGGAGTCTACCGTAGAGCAGGAAGTACACTAGGATCACAAATGCTTCATTAGAATAACATAGAATACTGCACAAAAATAGATGGAATTATCCTTAAGCGTTGGATTGGAGACGACTTTTTCTTTTCAACGACACGTCGCGACAATGCGATGAAGTTGCGGGCGTCTAGACTTTTGCCTACGCGTACAAATTGCACGATAATTTCCTAGATTTTCCCCGGTACATTATAACTCTCTCACTTATTGTGTACTCTTCACGGTAACCTTTGCGTCACAATCTCATATCGGTAACCTTCGCGGTTACCTTGCAGCCCTCCTTTGCATTCGCCTCGATGTAGAACTATCTAAGGTGTGAAGTCAGCCTCTTGTATGCTAATCATTCCCCGTCATCCCCGCCTAGCTGGCCTCCAGGAGATGATAATAATGATTCGCTGATCTGCGGATCATGCTCACTATCTGACAGTGCTTTAAATTAATTAATTATAACGCCTTATTTCTTGAGTAGCACTAGAGCAAATTCTT